TTGCACTTTTCATTCAACAATGAAAACAGCCTCCTTGTTTTTTGTCATGGCTGTGTAGTATTCTCTTGTGTGGAGATGCAACGTTTATTTAACCAGCCCTCTGTAGAAAGACATTTGAAGGTGTTGGAGACAAAATTAAAGTTCTAATCCAGAAAACCTTTCCACAAAAGTGGAAGAGAAAACAGTTTTATTATTAAATAAACATTAAACCGACTGCAGTGGGCATCACAGGCAATCCACGAAAGAGATTACAAAGAGAAAGAAATTTCATCCTCCTATATAACCAAGCAGGTATAACCTATTGCACTCAAGTCCTCAAATAATAACTAGGGCCAGGGGTGGTGGCTCATGCCTGTAATTCCAACACTTTGGGAGGCCAAGGTGGGCAGATCACTTAAAGTCAGGAGTTCGAGACCAGCTTGGCCAACATGACGGAACCCCATCTCTACTAAAAATACAAAAATTAGCCGGATGTGGTGGTGCATGCCTGTAATTCCAACTCGGGAGGCAGAGGCAGGATAATTGCTTGAACCTGAGAGGCAGAGGTTGCAATGAGCTGAGATTGCGCCACCGTACTCTAGCCTGGACAACAGAGCAAGACTCTGTCTCAAAAAAAAAAAAAAATAGTCCTCAAGTCAGATGACTGCACAACATGATTTGCAACATATTTCATCCTGAATTCACCTGGTAATTGGAGTGGCCATCTGCGTTAGCTAATTGTCTTTATCCAGAGGAAATAGAAACTCACATCTTTATGATAGATGATGGACTGTTTTGCAGCTTGGAGCCAGGCACTGAAGTTAGGCTCCCATCCTCCCATGGAGACTGGATGAGAAGGGTGCTATCTTGATGTTTACCTTCCAAAGAGATGACTCCTAGGTCCTTGGGAAAACATTCCTGGCTTGTAAAACTGGTAGGAGGTCGTTTGGCTTTTAAAAAGACTCCCATCTTAAAGGAACAGATAAATAATTGAGAAGTTTTCTGAAGTGTTTGCTCTAGAATATTTAAGAACAGGAAACGGGATGTTTCTTTCCCTTTTCTGCACCAGGAAGAATTAGTTTATTTTTCTTATTTGCCCTTACAAGGGCATTTGGGTTTCCAGTCAGTCCCTCCCAGGAAGGATGTTGGAGTGGATAATGATCGAGGAGTTTCTCTGTACTGATGTAGGAAGTTGCCCCAGAATTAATTATATGTGTGCACACACACACACAAAGGAGATGCAGAAAAGCATGTGGAGTGTGGCGCAACTCATGCTAATGTCGCTTGTCAAGGACTGGGTGGAGGGTGCATTGGCATTTGGAAAAGGCAACTCTCTGGTTTTGCTTTCATGCGCCATCCTTGCAGGTCTTTAGCCCTTAAGGTACCATGCAAGACCCAGCTCTTGTCAGCTTTGTCAGCACATGTGGATGAGAAAAGCACCTCCCTCCCAGGATTGCTGTTAAGGATGCACTGAGCTAGTATATGCAAAGTGCTTGGCACCACACTGGCAAACAGTGAGTGCTCAATAAATATCATTAAAAAGCTGTCTCACTTTGGGAGGATATCCACCACAGACGCTTGATGTCCCCAAACTACACTCTGCCTGCCCCTGCCACACCCCCAGCTGAAATGCAGTTTTGAGGCAGGCCTGAGACACGTGATGCTCCTACAGACACCAAGTGACCAGCTAGGTAAATTATTTGCAGAATGAGATCAGGGCTGGATGTGTTGGTTTACACGTGTAATCCCAGCACTTTGGGAGGTTGAGGCAAGAGGATTGCTTGAGCCCAGCAGTTTGAGACCTGCCTGGGCAACATAATGAGACCCTGTTTCTACAAAAAAATACAAAAATTAGCTAGGCATGGTGGCACATACCTGTGGTCCCAGCTACTTAAGAGGCTGAGGTGGGAGGATTGCTGGAGCCCAGAAGTTCAAGGCTGCAGTGAACCATGATGGTGCCACAGCACTCCAGCCTGGGTGACAGAGCGAGATGCCATCTCAAAAACAAAACAAAACAAAAAAAATGGTTGGGCACGGTGGCTCACACCTGTAATCCCAGCACTTTGGGAGGCCAAGGCTGGTGGATCACCTGAGGTTGGGAGTTCGAGACTAGCCTCACCAACACGGAGAAAGCCCATCTTTACTAAAAATACAAAATTACCCGGGCATGGTGGTACATGCCTATAATCCCAGCTACTTAGGAGGCTGAGGCAGGAGAGTCACTTGAACCTGGGAAGTGGAGGTTGCAGTGAGCCGAGACCACGCCATTGAACTCCAGCTTGGGTAACAAGAGTGAACTCCGTCTCCAAAAAAAAAGAGAGATCAGAACTCCAGACTCAGTCCAAGGGGTGGGCTTTCCCAAGGATGCCCCTGCGAGCTGGTACCTCAAGGCAGGTAGGAGGGAAGGAAGTGAGGTAAGGAAGAAGGTACCTTCCAGGAGGAAACTGCACTTTTGAAGGCCAAGGGGTAGAGCCAGCAGAGTGCCTTCAAGGGCCTGATAGGAAGACAGGGTGGGGACCCAGAGAGAGAGACAGAGTACCTTGGAAGCCAAGATCATGGAGAGATGGAAGGCTGCTTTGGCCTGCGCGACATTGAAAGGGACCACACCAGATGCAAGCAGGCTCAGAAGCCACTGCAGCCATCCTGGAGAGAAATAACGTCACCCTGGGCAAAGAGCGTAACCCCCCAAGGGGTTCACCTTGCAGGCTGCCTAGTCAGAGCCGATTCATCAAGACAGGAGAATTGCAATAGAGAAAGAGTAATTCACGCAGAGCCAGCTGTGCCGGAGACCAGAGTTTTATTACTCAAATCAGTCTCTCCCGAGCATTCGGGGAGGAGAGTTTTTAAGGATAACCTGGTGGGTGGGGAGAAGCCAGTGCACCAGGAGTGCTGATTGGTTAGGGATGAAATCACAGGGAGTCGAAGTTGTCTTCTTGAGCTGAGTCAATTCTTGGGTGGGAGCCACAAGATCAGATGAGCCAGTTTATTGACATGGGTGGTGCCAGCTGATCCATCAAGTGCAGAGTCTGAAAAATATCTCAAGCACTGATGATAGGAGCAGTTTAGGGAGGGTCAGAATCTTGTAACCTCCAGCTGCATGACTCCTAAACCAAAATTTCTAATCTTGTGGCTAATGTTAGTCCTACAAAGGTAACTTAGTTCCCAGGCAAGAAGAAGGTCTGCTTTGGGAAAGGGCTGTAGAAAGTATAAACTAAGTTTCTCCCAAAGTTAGTTCAGCTTATGCCCAGGAATGAACAAGGACAGCTTGAAGGTTAGAAGCAAGATAAGAGTACATCAAGTTAGATCTCTCACCGTCGGCCGGCCGTGGTGGCTCACGCCTGTAATCCCAGCACTTTGGGAGGCTGAGGCGAGTGGATCACCTGAGGTTGGGAGTTTGAGGCCAGCCTGACCAACACAGAGAAACCTCGTCTCTACTAAAAATACAAAAAGTAGCCGGGCATGGTGGTGGGTGCCTGTAATCCCAGCTACTCAGGAGGCTGAGGCAGAAGAATCACTTGAACCCAGGAGACGGAGACTGCAGTGAGCCGAGAACACACCATTGCACTCCAGTCTGGGCAACAAGAGTGAAACTCCGTCTCAAAGAAAAAAAAAAAGATCTCTCACTGTCTCAGTCATAATTTTGCAAAGGTGGTTTCAAGAGGGACCTGCACTGGGCGTGGTACACTGGGCCAACCTACCACATAGACCAAAAGGTTCTTCTTTTTGATCTCCTAGAATGTTTTTCAGGATGTTGGTCACCAACTGAACAAAGGGACTCTGCAGGAAAAGGACAGAACGACCTTCCCTCTCTCCCGGGCTGGCAGGTGGAAGCTGAGAGGAAATGCATGTGAGGAGGCAGGGTGGGGCCTGTCTCTG